TCACTCTGAAATTAATCCATATTTTTATAAACATCTTGTATATAGGAATTTTTATTGTATTTAAATAAAACAATGGAAAAAAATTATATTTGTAATTTAATTTAATACTAAATTATATCAATAGTGAAAAAAATATTAAAATTTAATTTTCACTAATTTTTAATTTTTATAATATTATGATACTTTTTTTATCTAGAAATAATAATAGTTATTTGAGGAATCTAATTTTAAAAAATTAGACATTCACAGAATACTTAATTATAATTAAGCAATAACAAATATACGTTGAAAACAGGTAAATGCTCTTATTATAAATTTTGCAAATAAAGTAAAGCGAAATACGAAAGGATTACGTTTTTATTCGATAAAAAATTAAGAATTCATTGTTGAAAAGATTATTGTTATTAAAAACTTAAAATTTTTTTTTATAAAAATATATAGCAGTTTTATTGATAATATAAAGGAAATATACCACTAAATGACATATTTATGTTTACTTAGTGAAATTTAAAGTTTTTGTAAATGGTAATTTTTTATTACAAGATTACAGATAATATTAACAATTTTATATGTACTATTGATAGTTTAAAGGCATATATATATAATAAGCTCAATAGATCATCAAAAAATGCGATAATTGGAAAAAAGGAATATCTCGAGAAATTCTTATTTAAAAAATTTCTCAATTTCAATTAAATGATTACAAAATATAACATATATAAATCCATTTCTTATTATATAGGTTCTTCATTACGTCAAAGAAAATGTCCTAATCCTGGACGATACATTATACTTGGACCGTTTGATATATCTACTTCGTTTCATCAACAACATCGTAGTGAAAGACATTCTAGAATTACTAAAAGAAGAACTTGGCATGAAGATGTACCTCAAAAAGAATTACATGAACAACATCAACAAATACATCATCATAATCATCATCATCATCATCATCATCATCAGCATCATCAACAACAACAACAACAACAATATGAAGGAGAACATCATCAACAACAAAGAGGAGATTGTAAGAATACTAATGTTCAAATAGGTTGTGTCTCATCAAATCAGACAGAAATTGTTATTGGAAAAACATGTGATACTGAAGAAACAAGTAAGTATTCTTTATATCATTACTTATTTTTTATATTTTTTATTTACATGAATTTTAAATATAAAAAAAATGAATAAATATTATTATTGTAGCATATTTTTGTCATGGCAGTTGGGAAGAAAAAGATAGTTGGTATACAATAGTATCACTAAAAACCAATCAAGCTTCTTTAAGTTTCGAACAAACTTTTTGTTTCTCTATGCGATTTAGTAATAATATAGAAAAAACATCTATGACTACAAGAGCGGTTAAAATGAAAGTCTCTGAACAGAAACTTTGGTTGACTAAATTAGATCGCATCTGTCGTAGAGAACAAGTTGAAGATGAACGGTCTTATACACTTATTAATCAAGGTATTTCAAACGAAAAATGTAAATTAGTTTTTTTTTTATTTCCAACTTTTTTTAGTTTTTTTTCCTTCATATATTTCTTCGTTGTATTTACAGTTGTTTTGTGAAATATTTATTGCAATATGAAACGTTTTAGATTATGATCTAATAATAATTTTATTATTATTATTTCAGGCATTTGCGAAGACGTGGAAAAAGCGTATTCCAGTTTAGCATCACTTTTTTCTAATTCTAGAATCGTATATATCGCAGTTGTAGGAAATTATGCTGCATACATATTTTTATTAAGATGATATGCCACTTCCACGTGAATTAATATTTTTAATGGAATTCTTTTTTTATCTTATTAATAATTTTTCTTCTTCTTGTTCCTCTTCTTCTCTTCCTCCTTTTTCTTCTTTTTCTTCTTCTTCTTCTTCTTCTTCTTCTTCTTCTTCTTCTTCTTCTTACTATTATTATTCAAACTGGATTCAAACTAAACACAGAAAACGATCAACAAATCCATACGATATTTTAATTTTTGTAAAAATCAAAATTATTTTTAATTTTTTTAAGAATCAAAATCAAGAATGAATAGTTTTATTTAATTGATTAGGTTTAGAAATTCGTGACATATCAGGGTTTAATTTATAGTATTTTAATTTTTATAATTTTTTTGATAGTAGTTAATAATTTTTTCATTTTCATTTCAATTCTTCTTTTTACAAAGAAAATTTTCGCGCTGCTCTCTTTCTCTCTCTCTC